AAACCCAAAATATTATCAACAGGATAATACATATATTAATTAACAGAGAGCATATTGAATGAGTGCATATTGGAAGAGAGAGGAGAAAAAACATTTCCCAACATCACTGGGTTGACAATGACATAAATTAAAGAAAGCGTTGAGATATCCAGGATTATGGGAGAAGCGTTGGATGACAGTGATAAGTGACGACAGAACCTCAGGTGCCCACAAGTCAATAACTGAAGCGAAGGACTTTTCTAGGATCTAATTGTCCACTGCAATAACTTGATGAGACAGTCGACAGCTCCTGACGACTCTTCCACTCTTGCATTGGCTTCAAAACAATTGGGGTTTCAATAGAAGAGCCTTCGCTTTTTTATCCCAGGGATTCCATAAAACTGTAACAAAAATAAAAAAATTAAAACATAAGAATAATGAGAGTGACCACAAAACTTAAATCACAACAAGAAAGGGGAAATGGGATGACTGTAAGAACCTGCATCGGGCATGCCCTCTTTGCGAATCTCATAAGTTCTCTACTTCTCATGGTCTATTATGGCTATCTTTGTCGGGGTGCTCAAATACACTCGATCAATCTACCAATACGCAAGCAACATATGAGCAAGTGCTTGAGAATATTTTAAATTTCAGAAGAATCTTTGCCAAGAAAAATATTGAGATCAAAAAAAGCTTCCTCTGGAAAACCAATCTTAAACCTAATATATAAATTTGATAAGCTATGGGAGATCAAATAGAAAACACATTATCTCACCGTGAAAAGTAATTGCATCTGCCTGCTCTGTGTACCTCTCTCTTTGCGACAGATTGTAAAAGTAGTCAAGTGTCTCCAAGCCCTCAACCAGCACTTCACTGAAAATAAAAAAAGTATCACACAACCCACCTGGAAAGGATAAATAATACAACACATTTACAAACCTAAGGCAGTGTTCCAAATCTATGCAAAGCAAAGGAATACATGATTGTAATATTTACTTATTTACAGTTTCAAGCAAGAAAAATATGCATTAAGAAATAACCACAACCTGATATCAGACACAGACAGATAATTGCACAAAGTAAAATGTGAAAGGAAATGCCTTGTTATCAGTGTTTCGCACACGAGGGATCAAGGTGAGCTTGCCAGCAGTCAAGGAAACTCGTAAGTGCAATTCAAATCTTTAAACATCACAACAAAAACAAAAAACTAAGTGAGAATATCCCAATTAAGAAATAATTAGCAGATCACGACATAGCCTCCTCACCTATGCGGCCAAGTTCTCAGATCCTCTTCTGTGGATTTAAGCATAATATCCACAGTTGCTTGATTGGTCACAGGGGGCAAAGGCGAAGACGAGCTGTCTAATGACCACATTCTACTTCTAGCAAACCCAGGTTGCTCCAGTGAACCAAAATTGGAAAACTAAAATGTGCATTTGAATACACATGAGAGAATATACAAAAGATATACGCTATTAATGTAATGGAAACTAAGTCAGTCAGCTATCAACCTGTGGGAAGAAAATGGCTAGTCTACCCCTGATACCTTTTCCTGGCTTCCATAAAGCCTGATGAAAAACATGACGTGTACACATTATTTTACACACGAAACATTATCATACGAGACATTACAAATAAAAAAATTCAAATTACTCATTTCCAACTGCATTGACACAGTTCATTCTCTTCTTCTACAATGAGCAGATTGGATTTCTCGTAATCAGAAATGTGCAAATGAAAATCAATAAACTTTTTAAGATAAGATAAGGAGAATTGGAATATACCTTGTCTCTCTGTCTCTGCCTCTCATGCACTAAGAATTCTCTCACTTTAAGCTGCCGTCATACATAGATTCTGCCAACAATGGTTAGTCACAGGTCAGTGGCATATAACAGAAACCAAAAATATATCTTACGGAAGTAAGGGAATTCAGACCTTGAGATCACTTCCGTTGTATCCTTGTGTCATTGTTGCAATCTCTTTGAACTCAAGGTTTTCAGCTTTCTCTTTCGACAGTAGGATTCCCAAGATCTTTTCTCTGTTTTCCATTGAAGGTAGATCAACCATGATTTTGTCCAACAAAAATGTGAATCTGAGCATGGTTTCTTAAAATTTTTGGATTCACAAAGATAAATGTACTATTGTACCCTAATGTGTTTTTCTTGGGTAGCTAGACTAAAGCTTGATCTTATTTATTTACTTATTTTTTCGAACAAACCCTTTATCTACAGATAAAATTGCACTTCTAAAGGACCTATCTCCATTTAAATCTGACAAAAGAGAAGCCTAGAGTTCTAAATCACCGGACATTATAGAATGGTTTCTTCCATGATACATTTTGGACATCAAATGACTTATGAGATCGGTATCCACTGAAAATTCAGAAGATGACTTCGAAAAATGACACTTCCATTATACATTTTGGACATCAAATGACTTATGAGATCGGTATCCACTGAAATTTCAGAAG